CCAGGGACTATTTACAGCTCTCTCCCTTTACTGGGAAGGAGCAAAGCACTTCCCCACCCTCATGCTGAGGGCAGGAAAGGAATTTTTGTCCCATGCTTTGCTGAATAGAGCACCTACAGGAAATCCCAAATATTGTTATTCTACTGTAAATACAGGCAATCCCTGAGTTACAAACATCCGACTTACAAGTGACTCCTAGTTACAAATGGGGTGAATCAATAGGAAGTGGAAGCAATTCTACTCCTAGGAAGGGAAATGTGCTCCTGAAAGAGTTATAATGGGGAAAAGGTGCCTCCACTCAAGCTTTATCGCCAATCCTTGTTTCCATGACAACCCAACAATCCAATTGTCACAGGGACAGAAAGTGAGTTGACATCTTCGGAACAGTTGCACACAGATCAAAGTAAAAATTACAGGATTGTTAAAACCTTACTATGTTATCCAAAACTTTTTTAAAAATATCTGGAATTCCACTTAAATATGTATCTTTTCTAACTTACACATACATTCAACTTAAGAACAAATCTACAGAACCTATCCTGTTCGTAACTTGGGGACTGCCTTTATTTCACATTTGCCTTTATTTCACATTTGGAAAAAACAAAATTTATTTTAGTTTATTTTTATTTTTATGAAATGTTTTTTTATTATAGATTTAAGCAGGATTACAGTAAAAAAATTAAAAAATGGTGTGGGGGATGGATCATTAGGGGGGAAAAGGTAAGGGGTAGAGGAAAAGAACTGAATTTCTTGTAGAGATTTAATATTGATGGACTTTGAAATGTGGGTCCTCAATGACACTGATATTTTAGCAAACAATACAAGTTGAATAATCCTTTTTTGAAATGCTTGGAATCAAAAGTATTTTGGATTTGGATTTTCTCAGATTTTGGCATACCTATATTTGCATATATGTGCTTCGTAGATATAATGGAGATGGGACTCAAGTTTACACACGAAATCCATTTATGTTTCATACGTACTTTGAACACATAGCCTGATAAATATTATAATAATAATTGTGTGCATGAAATAAAGTTTGTGTGCATTCAGCTATCAGAAAGCAAAGTTGTTACTATTTTAGCCAGCCATGTAGACCATTTCAGAGTTGAAAGCATTTCAGATTTCAGAATTCCAGTTAGGGATGTTCAACCTGTAATATTATTTGCTTAGTAACTATATAGTAAACGCTGGCTGAACAGATACCAGTGTTATAATGATCTGGCTACTTTTTAAGGCTTTCATTTTAAGTAAATCAATTTCCTGTGGTTGAGCACTTTAAACATAGACAGCCGCTTCAATATATGAATCTCATAAAATAGATTCAAAATAAATTAGCCAAAGACAAGCTAATTGCAAACTCCTCTGAGAATATGAACAGACCTTTTGCTGTGCTGACTCCATTGTCAGAGATGGAAAAAAATAATGTTTATTGAAATACGATGGCATGTTTAACACTCGGAGTCATTTGGGAGTTAATATTCCACTCTTACCTTTTCGAAAGAAACTACTGTTTTAATAATTGATGAACAAGATTGTCATGTAAACATATAATACCACCAACAATTTGAGATGCTTATTCTTATTATATGCATTCCAAAACACTGCTCCTGTCTCTTTGGATATCTTTATTATCACTTTTAATCTTTTATATGTTTAGTTAGAATGTGAAGTCAAGTAGGGCTAGTTATCTCTTAAAAGAAAAAGGAAATGAGTCAATTTTTGCAAATGTATGACTTGGAAATCAGGTTTAGAGCTTGGATTTAATCTTATTGAACATTTATTTTTTAGATCACAATGTATGTTATTTCACTGATTCAAGTTCTTTTGTCTTTCCCAGTTAAATCAACCTGCCTGCTAGTCATACTTTACAACTGATGCATTCCTAGTGTCTTGGATTTTTTTTTTAAAAAAAAGGTTCAGCAACCCAAGTAAATGAAAGACTGTGATCTAGTAAAGAGTTTGTGTATTAAACCAGTTTATTTCCTGTGCTCTTATACCTTTTTAGATTTTATTTATTTATTTATTTTTGCATAGGAGTGTCCTTCTGGTGCTGTCACCACTACTGTGATGATGGGGATTTTTTCCCTATACATCTCTATCCTGAATGTTTCACAGATCAGCATTTCTCCCCATAACTTGAATCCAACTATGTTTTGCTGCTGGAATGGTTTCTCCTGCATTCTCACATGTGTCCTCCATCTCCCTTCTTTTTCCTAAAGTATTTCCTTCATTTTTTTTCTCTCTCTGGCATCTCTCTTACGTAAACTGAAAGATTTCTCTTTCCATTCATTATCTTTCAAGTGATGCCTTACTTCTGATTCACACTTTAAATATCAACAACATATAAAGGGAAGATCCCATTTTCTTTAATATTTCAGGACACCTGCTATAGGATGGTATACATTGGTACACTCTAGGAATATGAATAGAAATTGAAAACTACAAATTTAGTTTAGGAAGTATGTTTGTGAAAGGATTACTTATCCAACTTGTTTCTATACACTTGATAGAACATAGGAAATCGCCATATTTATCTGTGCATTTAAACAAAGCTGCCATGCTTGATCCATATGTGCCAGTATTGTTGGTTCTTGCTTGTGATGACACATAGGTTTGTCTTTGTCTTGCTTTCTGAAATAGCTGTTTTAGTGAAGAATGACAGCAGTTGAATATAGACATCCACTCTACGTATCTACTTCCTCCCCATTGTTGTCATCACTTCAAAAGCTGTGAAGTTGAAGCTAATGTAGCCTAGTTTTATTCTGGAAGATATATAATATATAATATAATATAATATAATATAATATAATATAATATAATATAATATATAGAAAGAGAGTGCAATATCAATATTTTTTATTCTTCAAGTATTAGTCTGTGTATGGTTCAAGATTTCGTGCATGGCTTGTACCATTAAAGTGCAGATATATTTGTGTGTGTGTGTCGAGAGAAGGGCCATTTGAGTAGCATACTTTTAAAATTATAATTTTTGCTACAGGTCAGTGGCTGTCTCTTTTATGTCTTTTTGAAAATTCTGAACAGAGCCTTCAAAAGAAAAAAAGGTCATGTGAAAAACCAACAAAAAGATACATACCTTTTTATGTATCCAACCAGACAAGCATTTAAATGGCAAGAACTGTTAACATTTAAAGATGTGAAATGCAGAAAAAGTAGAACATTATAATATAGACATTTTTGTCTGTGGTAGTGATGTTCTTTTCCTTTCCTGTCTACCTCCAAAATAAAGAAGCGCAAAGCAGCATGAAGATTTCTCTTTGAATTGGCTGCGGGATGCACAAAGCCACAGAGCTTTTTAGTGACAGCTGTTGCTGTTGGAGAGATGAAAGTACTTGGCCCAAGAGTCTGTTTATGTGTTTGAGCAGAGAAAGCAATATTCGTTGCAAGGAGCTCTGAGACAGACAGATTCTGAGAAAGAGAGAGCAAGAGATAATTATCTAAATTATGTTCAGGCTATTATTGAAGACGAATATAGTTAAAATGTAATTAAATATGACGGGCTCACAGGATGCAAGCATGGCTTTGGAATGCTAATCATCAATTACAGCTCTCCTTGGGGGACTCAGGCAGAATGAGAGATTTGGGAGGGGGTGGCTGAGGTGAGATACCGAGTATTAAATAACACACCCTAGGGCTATAACAAGGCTAATTTCCTTTAAGAGATGAAGCTATGGCACTTGGAGACTTCTGCTGGCCAAGCGGCATGCCCACAGTTCTCTTTCAGTTAGAGGACCCTCAAAGGAATCTAGAGATAGGCTGCCAGTCTCTGGACTTGTCTTCAAGATATAAGCCTCAGCTGCAATTAATGATTATATTTTCCAATTATATCATCTGGGGTTTTGTGCATATGTTTTAACTGTATTCCTTTTTTCTTCCTTTCACTTATTTACGTAGTCTTATACAGTGTCTTCCACAGCCCTTGCTGAAATGTCATGGTATCACAAAAAAGGCAAATTTACTACATCAGGACACTTGTTTTGTTTGTGATGCTACAATGAAAAATACCTGTGTGGTGGTGATGGTAGTAATAATGACAATGATTTACTCTATTTTTATCCCACTTTTCTCCAAATATAGGAACTTAAGGCAACTAACAATAAATATAAAACAGTGCTAATTAAAAACAATATTAAAATGTGTTAAAACTTTGTACCCACCTTAAAATTTCAATCCTACCATCTTTAAAAGCTTGCGCCTCATTAGTTCTTAAATGCCAGAAGGCAGAGAAATGTTTTTACCTGTCTACTAAAGGCAAGCAGGGATGGGGCCAACCTGGTCTCTCTTGGGAGGGAATTCGTGATTATACTAATGGTTTTTCCCTGAAGTCTTATTGACATTCATTTAGCATTTGTGTTACATCCCTTGACTACTTTTGCTACATTTCTCTTCACTAATAATGTTCAACTGCTTGATTCCACTTGTTTCAGCTGTTTCTGTGTTTTGTTTTGTTTTTAAATAGAAATTATTGTGCTAGTACTTCATTTGGGGTGGGGGGGGGGTGGAATCTTATTGAGAAACCGATTATTCAAATGAAACTGCTTCTATGAATGCCTTGGCAGCAAGGAAAACTGAGCAAATTTTTTATGTTGCTATATTATATTATTTTAATATTTTATTTATAACTATTTACTTATTTATTTACTATATTTATACCCTGCCCTCTCTCACCCTGAAGGGGACTCAGAGCAGCTTACAAATTGGCGACAATTTAATGCCATATAACAAACATGTAAAAACAATAACCAAATACATTAAAAATAATAAAAGTTAAGAAAAAAATCTATGCAGTAAAACAATTATTAAAACCATTTAATTCCCCATGACACAGGTAAACAGTAAATAAGTAAAATAAATAGGCATATAAAAATATCAGTAAGTACAAATATGATTAAGGCACTATAAAAATCCTGGAATTTAAAAAAGGGTGTAATTGAGTATAATTATTGCTAATTACTTTACTTCTCTGATTTGTTTTGCAGATCATGGCAAGTAGTAACTTTTGACAGACAAGCAGCATCTTTTATCAGAATTGTTGGAACTCACAACACAGCTAACGAGGTAACTTAATATAAGCCTGGCTTGCAATTAATAATAATGTATATATAATATGTCATCGCACTTTCTTAATTCAAGGTTGCCAAAGTTAACTTCTTTGTTCCATTGGGAAAACCAAGTGAAGAAGAGAGAGTATAATAATTATTTGAATAAATACAAAATCTGTTCTTATGTATAAATCAATGGTTATTATATAGAAATGTATTGCCATGTTGCCATGGCCACCACAAGATCTTGGTTGAATGTTGTTTTGTGAGGTTATAGTTACAATTGTTCGTGCACATTTTTTAAAAGGCCACACGGTGATGACCTTAATTGCAGCGTAAGTCTATAATTGATCAAGCATAGCCAATCTTCACTTCTCAACAGAAAGTACGATATGCAATGTTCCTGCTTCTTGGCAGGGGGGACTGGATGGCCCATGAGGTCTCTTCCAACTCTATGACTCTATGATTCTATATGACTCCCTTTATTCACAGATTCAATGTCTATGGTTTCATTTACCCACACTCCAAAATTTATTCCCCCAGAAATGTATGTGGGCCTATCTAAGTCCTCCAGTGTAATTCTGTAATCAACTTCCAGCCCAAATATTGTCAAAATATAAGATTTGGTATTTTCCACACTATCAGGGGAGATCTTGGAATGTAACCCCTATGGATACAGGGGGTGCACCCTATATATAAATAGTGCTGTTGTCTCTATAAAACTAAGGCAGTAGGTGGCCAAAACTGACAAGCTAACCCAGTAATGACTATTTTATTATTTCAAATTTATTTTTATTAAGGCTTTTAAGGATAGAAAGGAGAGGTTGGGGATTGGGGGATCAAAAAAAACTTGTACATATAAAGTGGGAGAACAGTAATGTAATAGAAAAGCAGGAAATGTATATCAATATAGCACAGAGAGAAGGAAAACAAAACCTTTACTTGTAAAGTGGGAGAACAATGGTGTAATAGGAAAGTAAGAAAACATGTAACAGTATGACAAAAAAAAGATAAAAATAAAAAAGATAAAAATAAAAAGTCTGTTGACTTCCATCTAGTCCTTTGCGGCTTTGTCTTTATCTTTACCTAAATATTCTCTATTGAGGGTATCATTTCGTAGCACTTCAATGACGTAATGACTATTTTATGTTGTGACTGGTGGGTTGACTGGGTTTTTTTTTAATATTTTTTAAATGTAGATATAAGCTCCAAAATCACAATTTGATTTATTAACATGTGTTTTCAAAGTTTATAATTTGTTTTCAGAACGTTATTTAGGTTGATTTAACATTTATATGATATTGTTCCATTATTTCCTCAGAGCAGTTGAATTGTCACATTTCATCTTCCCAACAATTTTGTGAAACACAGTAGATGATAATTAGACCAAGTAGAACTTTGGTAGACCTGTGTTCTAAAAGTTACAATGCAGTAATATTACAAATGTACCAGAAATCATTACTTCAGATGGAAGTCAGTACAGAAATAGTCCATATGATTTAAGATTTCCTGTAATTTCATGTTGTACTCTTCATACCCTTTTCCCATTCTTCCAACCCTTTTTACAGTATTTGACTTTGCATAGGTCTTTAATCTTTATTACGATACAAGTTTGTCTATCATGAAGCATTATTGTTCATGTAAGTTTCATTAATTTTCTTAGTAAGTTGCATTTCCTATCCCTTTGCAATATAGCATGCTTTCGATGAGTTAACATCAGGCACATTTTCCTTGCAGCATCAGTTGTTACTAGCAGCTGAGGTTTGACCATTGGGAACAGCATTCACAATACTTGGTATTATCTTGTTTTCTTTTCTACTCCTACAAATATCAGTATCAGCATATAAGCTAGGCAGAGATAGAGAGAAGCAGGCTTGGAATGAGATCTTGGGCCCAAGCTCAATCATTTTTAAAAAGCTATTCTTAAAAAAAAGATAGTCTTGTAATATTGCTGAGCTTTCACTGGCTATTTCTTGGAAATTAGAGATAGGATTTTGGTGCAAGTTAGCATATTTATAGCCCTGTCAGTCACATTAGAAACTCTTTTTGGTGAAAGAGAGTTGATATATTTTACCCTGTAAAAAGTGAATCATGTCATATCACAAAATAAATAATAGCACCATTAAAGCAGAAGCCATAAATGCAAGTAGGTAAATTATTCATCCCTTTAAACTGTCTGTGTGTGCATGCAGTCCTCCCCTCTCCCAGAGAACCAATGCAGCACTTTAAACTGTTACAATCTTAAATGTGGGCAGATTAATGTCTCTACAGCCACTAATATTACATGTTCCCGCATATATATTTCACACAATAGGAAATTATAAATAAGGCTGCAAATTGAACTTGGTGATGGCCTTGACTGGTATTTAACCAGCTATTGTCTGATTCCCAACAGACATCTGTGCCATCTCTAGGGCTGAAGAATTAGCAATTAAGAGGTTAGAAAAAAGTAAATCTATGAACCTAATTAGTGGTTAAAAGCTGCTAAAAGGTTACACGGTACCAAATACATTTCTTCTAACACTCATTATAGGGTTCTCTTCCTCCCTTTTTAAATTAATACTTGGTGAGGTACAGTTTCTCTGTATTTACAGTTTGCAATTAGGATCCTGGTAATCATCATAGTAAACCAAAGTAGTATTCCATTTCAAGTTCAGAATCCTGCTGCTAACAGTGATCATTATCAACTGCTTCAGTGAATCTGCAATGAAATGCCCAGTAAACAATTACAGAATAGCCTGCTGGTAGGAAAGTGTTCCATAATCTCCAGTTAGTAGTGAAATGAAGCCCTAATATCCTGTTGAGTGATACATTGCAATCAATAATGTTTCAAAATCTCTGTGGTATAAACAGAATGTTGTGTAACATTTTCCTTGCATTGTTCTTAAGTTATACAAGCTTATTATAAACAAAACACCATTCTAGAGAAACGCAGAGGTAGCACTTAAACAGTGTGAATACACACTAGGAGACTTTTGTTTTGTTCTGGGCTTTTTTGGTGAGTTCATTTCTCACTGCCCTATTATGATCAACAATTATGTGAATTGTGCCCAAAGTGTAGGTAACAGAAATCATGGCCTTAAATCCATATCTACCAATGCAACTCCTTCCATCAGAGAAATGGGGTTGGAGGGAGCAACTAATTTTGTGTCAGCACTGTAATCTCTTCTGCATACCCAAAACCTATGCTTAAATCAGTAAAATCCCCCAGAGTTAATTTCTAGATGATACCGAGGTCTATAAAGGGGACAACAGGAAATATAATTGAGTTTCCACCCCAATTCCTGGTTGGATGTGAGGAATACAATTATCTATTGTTGTAACTGCTTGATTGACTTTGTCAAACAAGGCTGGAGATTTTGGAGGTTATAGTTATGGGAAGAACCAAGAGAAAAAAAGTTATCTCTTTGATGTGGGATTTAATGTTTAAATGTTATTAGATCCAGGAAGGAAGTAGGTATAGTTACAGATGTTTGTACTTAAGTGGTGCTTTAGCCTATCCTAACCATATTGATTTCTATCAATTTCTGTAAAACTAAGGTACATTTTCCTAATGTACTCATTATCTTTCTTAATAAAAAAACGCAACTCAAAAATTAGATGCCTTAGAATTATCTATATTGTCAGTTACTATTTCAAAGGAATACATATGTCTCAAAATATGTTGGAACATGTTTGTGCTCACCAAGATCTTGAGGTGAAAAGTAATTATAGAAATAAAGACAGTTAAATAGTGGCCGGCCAGAAACAAATGGTTGTTACTCAAGAAGCATCCCGTGTGTGGCGTCCTTTATACACTTCGCTCCATATATGTCCCCATGAGGCCTTTGAAACATTGGAGAGGGCTCCCAAGGTCTTTTACCCTTGGTTATTCTAACTGGGGCTGGTGGAAATTGAAATCTAACCGCATCTGGATGTCTTTACCTTCCCCTCTCCTGAAGAAACTTCTGGCTGCAGAGTTATTCCCTTTCTTCCCCAAAGACTTGTGGAGTGTTATATTCATCTCAGCTAATGTCCATAGCCAACGGAGAACAGGCTTTTCATGCTATTAGAGGCACTAGAGTTAATGGGATATTTTGAAGTATTAGCTGCACTGCAAGGAGTCATCTGGTTCGCACCCTCTCAGAAATCAAGTCAGTCTTTATTTAATCAGAATCATAAACTAGAGGCTATTAAAATAAAGATCCATCCATTCATCACAACCAAATTTATTTCCAGGTGTCCCAACAGTTTATGATTTCTGCCACAGATAGTTTTACAGATGCAAGTGGAAAAACTTCCTGCCTTGTTCTTTGCTTATTTGTTTCTAGTAACTTCTCTAGAAAATAGAAATAGAAACTGGAAAATAGAGGGAGAAACCGTGGAGGCTGTGACAGACTTTGTATTTCTAGGTGCAAAGATGACTGCAGATGCAGACTGTAGCCAGGAAATCAGAAGACGCTTACTTCTTGGGAGGAGAGCAATGTCCAGTCTCGATAAAATAGTAAAGAGTAGAGACATCAGACTGGCAACAAAGATCCGCCTAGTCAAAGCCAAGGTATTCCCTGTAGTAACCTACGGATGTGAGAGCTGGACCTTGGGGAAGGCTGAGCGAAGGAAGATCGATGCTTTTGAGCTGTGGTGTTGGAGGAAAGTGCTGAGAGTGCCTTGGACTGCGAGAAGATCCAACCAGTCCATCCTCCAGGAAATAAAGCCCGACTGCTCACTGGAGGGAAAGATACTAGAGACAAAGTTGAAGTACTTTGGCCACATCATGAGGAGACAGGAAAGCCTATAGAAGACAATTATGCTGGGGAAAGTGGAAGGCAAAAGGAAGAGGGGCCGACCAAGGGCAGGATGGATGGATGGCATCCTTGAAGTGACTGGACTGACCTTGAGGGAGCTGGGGGTGGTAACGGCCGACAGGGAGCTCTGGCGTGGGCTGGTCCATGAGGTCACGAAGAGTCGGAGACGACTGAACGAATGAACAACAACAACAACAACAACAACTTCTCTAACCAGTTGTCATCCTAAAAG